AACAAACAAAAAAAAGTTAAAAATCCTATGTCAGACTTCGAGAGATAGTACAGCAGATCAGGTGCCTGCCTGCATATGGCCGACACGGGTTCAAACCTTCATCCCCCACACGGTTCCCCGAGCTCCATCAGGAATGATCTCTGTCTGAATGCTGAGCCAGGAGCAAGCCCTGAGCATCGCCAAGTGTGACCCAAAAAAGTGGTTTGAAATATTTTTTATTTTTTAAGCCCTACATCCAGTGCACTGACCACTAACTCTATTCCCAAATTATACTGAAAATTATTTTGAAAATTAGACCATCTCTTATTACGCAGCATTAGCCAAGTGGCCAGCGTTCAAACACAGAAGAAAGAGGTAGTGACCGCCCCTGACAGAAGCGACTACACAGAAATGCTCCCGAGCGGGAGGGAGAGTAACCACCCGCCCCCCAACGAAGGAGGGGCTTCATCCAAGCTGGGAGGACACGCACATGCACTCGTGAGCTGGAGCCCTGAAATATGGAATCAGGGGGCTGGAGTGATAGCACAGCGGGTAGGGCGTTTGCCTTACACGCTGCCGACCCGGGTCGACCCGGGTTCGATTCCCAGCATCCCATATGGTCTCCTGAGCACCGCCAGGGGAAATTCTTGAGTGCAGAGCCAGGAGTAACCCCTGTGCATCGCCAGGTGTGACCCAAAATGAAAAAAAAAAAAAAAAAGAAATATGGAATCGGGGGACTGGAGAGATAGCACAGCGGGTAGGGCATCTGCCTTGCACGCGGCCGACCCGGGTTTGAGTCCCAGCATCCCGTATGGTCCCCTGAGCACCGCCAGGAGTGACTCCTGAGTTCAAAGCCGGGAGTAACCCCTGTGCATCGCTGGGTGTGACCCAAAAAGAAAAATAAAAAAAGAAATATGGAATCGGGAACAGGACCTTGCACAAGACTCCAAAGAAAACTGAAAAGAGCAAGTCAGAGAAGGGAAGCACTGGAGCAGACGGGAACTCCTGACTTCCCCAGCGCTTCTGCATGGTAACGGAGCACCTGTGTTTCCCAGGAGGAAGGGGAAAGCTCTGTGCTAGAGGAGAAGTGGTTTCTCTGTGGAAAGCTTTTTTTTTTTTGTTTGGCTTCCTACACATGCGTGTCTCCCTAAGGGGCGCGCTGTCTGTCTGCATTGTGGCCGTGTTGTTGAGTGTGTGGATTTCTCTGTTTCTCTTGTCTGCTGAACACTGGTGTGTGTGCGTGCGTGTATGTGTGTGCCTGTGTGTATGTGTCAGAAGTCAGAGTCTGGGGGAGTCTGGGCACACGCAAGTTAGCAGCCGTTTCTGTACCGCGGAGTCTCTGCACTTAGCAGACGACAGGCTGACGTGCACAGACACGGGCGGCCTGACAAAATCCTTTTTGTCACAAGAGACTCGTGCCTAAGTGCTCACCTCAGGAGACTCCGACTTCAAAAATCAGTCCTGGGGGTGGGGGACAGGGCAGACTGGGTGCCTGGTCCTGGAGTGACACAGAGGACCAGGACCTGCTAAGGGAGAGCCACGCTGGTGCACAGGGCCCTGGTGCCAGCAGGGCTGCCATGAGAACATGCCACCCAGGACCCGCACTGCCCCGGCCCGTTCCTTCCTGGCCACCTCAGGCCTCGGAGGCAGCACACCGGAAGGAACAGAAGGGTCACAGGAGCTTGGGCACACGGCACGCCAAGACGTCTCTCAGCCATGTGCACAGTCAAGGTTAGAGGGGTTCCTCCTTCGCCAATTCAGAGATGAAGGTGAGGAAGAGGGCAAGGGGGAGGGGAGGACTGAGGAAACAGGAGTGTCACACCCACCCCCAGAGCCACATTTCCTAGGGCCTCGGTTATGTGCCACAGCTCATCTATTCGGAGAGGGTCAAATGTATTCCTCTAACATGGGGCGAAGCCCAAAGGTCTGCTCCAGAGACGAGGGGGTGGAGAGAGGACGGGGGGAGGGCGCTTGTCTTGCACGTGGTCCGTCTAGGCTCGATCCTCCCCATCACATATGGTCCCGGGAAACCCCCAGGAGTGATTCCCAAGTGCAGGGCCAGGAGAAAATCCTGAGTGTCGCTGGGTATGGCCCAAAAACCAAATTATAAAAGAAAAAGAATGGGGCTGGAGAGATAGCAGCATAGGTAGGGCGTTTGCCTTGCACACAGCCAACCCGGGTTCGATTCCCAGCATCCCATATGGTCCCCTGGGTAGCACCGCCAGGAGTGACTCCTGAGTGCAGAGCCAGGAGAAAACCCTGAGTGTCGCTGGGTGTGGCCCAAAAACCACATTAAAAAAGAAAAAAGAGATCAACAAGACTGGCGGCTGCTGCATGGCCCCAAGTTGGCAGAGGGGAACCTTGAAGGCAGAAGAGACGGGTCAGACAGTCCAAGGATTAGGCACGTGCCCTATGGTATCTGGTCCCAGGAGCGTCACCAGGAGGCCGAGGTGATCGCCTGCAGGGCAGGACCGAGCGGCTCCGTATTCTCGGGCTCACACTGAACCACTGGCAAATTGGTCAAGAACTGCCAGGTGGGGGCCCCGGTCTCCTGAGCACTGCTTGGGAGCACCCCCCCCGAAAAGAAGATAAACAGAAGAGTCACGCTAAGACAGAAAAAATCTGCCGTGCAGAAACCAACGAAGACTCCAAAGTAGGCGTCTGGGTCAGAGCAAACGCTGGTCCATCGCTGAAGTGGGGTGCACGAACGAAGCTGAAGGAGGCAGACCCACTCCAGACCTGGGTGACTGCTCGGGAGACCGCCAAGATGAAACTTACAGCCCAAAACCGTAACACCAAAACTGACACCACCACTCACCCAAGGGCGAGGGGACAGCAGAGGCCAACCTGGATTTCTTTTTGTTAGGCTTTTTTTGGGGGGGGCGGGGGTATCCCCACACCTGGCGATGCTCAGAGGTTACTCCTGGCTCTGCATTCAGGAATCACTCCTGGTAGAGCTTGGGGAACCGTATGGGGTGCCAGCAATTGAACCCGGGTCAGTCGCATACAAGGCAAGTGCCTTACCCGCGGTGCTCTTTCTCAAGTTCCCAAGGCCAACCTAGGTCTGATCCTTGGCACCTCATGATGGTCCTCCCTAGCACCACCAGGAGTGATCCCTGAGCACTACCAGGTGTGGCCCAAAACCAAAAACTTAAAAAAATAAAAGAGAAAGAAAGCCATCCAACATCGTGTTAGGAGGTCACCTTAGTATTAATTCTCCTTTAGTTAAATGACCTTTAAAATACATCTTTTGACCTTTACCTAGCAGTGATGACTTTCACATCGCCACTGTGAGGGGTGTTGGACAGACTGGCCAGTCGATGGCCAGGCACGAGCGTGCAGAGCGGGGCTCCCCGCCCCGGCAGTCACCACGCAGCCCGGGCCTGGCCGGGAAGCCGCAGTGGCTGAGGCACTGCCAACTCAGCAGAGGGCACAGGGAAATGGCAGCTGTCCAGCGATTCACTTTGCCCAGGCCGGGAGCCCTGCGTCCATGGGAGAGACGTAATTACCCCAGGCAGGGTGGCCCTGCAGGCACAATGTCACCCCACCAGGCCCTTCGCAGGGGAGTCCTGCTTTGCAGAGCCTCTTGATGAAGTAAATTGCGTTAATTACCACAGTTAAAAACACCCAACAGTTAGGGATTCAGAATCTCAGATTTATTCGACTGCACAGCAATAACAGGTCAGGTCTAGCACAGGTCACTTTTACAACAAAAACTCAAGTTGCCCCTAAACAGCAGCTGGGCTGGCGGGGGGCACCACTCTCTCTCACACCACGTGAGGACAAAGGCGCCGCGGCCCGCACAGCGTCACGGTGTCGGTGTGAGAGGTGCGAGCACACACGCATACACACAGGCGCACACACACACACACGCACGCACACACACCAGTGTTCAGCAGACAAGAGAAACAGAGAAATCCACACACTCAACAACACGGCCACAATGCAGACAGACAGCGCGCCCCTTAGGGAGACACACGCATGTGTAGGAAGCCAAACAAAAAAAAAAGCTTTCCACAGAGAAACCACTTTCACGAGATGATTAGGTGGACCTGCAATGAAGAAAATACATTTCAAAAGATGGGTTCGGGCTGACACTGTTTTCATCGACGTATTTAAGAAACACACGACCTCGCTCTGCACTGAAACAGTTTTTTTTTCAAACGAACGAAATGAATTTCATCAAGGCCCAACCCGATGCTGAGACACACACTTGTCATTACGGTCTGGAACTACCACGAACAGGCCAAGCTAAGTTCGTGTTCTGCTTCGGGGCATTACGGACAAATGAATCTCATTCTCACTATTATCATTTTTTTTCTTTCTGGCCTTAATCACCAGCGGCTGGGCAGCCACAATGGCCAAGAGAACTACATAAAGTCAGAGAAATATGAAAACCTCGTTAATGTTTCCAAAAATTCATTTAGAGAGAGAAACAGGTCCAAATAGATGCCTGTCTAAATGTACTGCAATTACGTTACAATTATTTTTCCAAATACACAGAGATGCTCTGTCTTTTCTCAGCTCATTACTGACTCAAACAATTTGCCCTTCTGGGATCAATTGTTTGCTAATAAATAATTGTTTACAGTCTCGAAATGATGTTAGGAGGTTTTCTTATTCGTTTTCCTTCTGCACCCTAATAAGATTGAAAACTAGCTGATTCCCAGGAGTCTAACCTTAACCTCGCTTTGTTTAACAGCCCAGGAAATGATGAACCATCTGCTTCTGAAAATAATGGACGGCCAAGAGGAAATATTGTTTAATTGTAGATTAACCTCCTCATGAGGCAGTCTGAAGCATCTTTTTAGAATTACCAACTCGAACCAGCAAGAGAAACAAATGGTTCAAGAGCCTCTTCCTCCACCATTTCAAGCCCACAAAGAATGCAAGGGGATTTGTATTGCCCAGATTTATTTACAAACATTTATTTCCACAATGGAAAAATCCAGGTCAAAGTGCAGTTACTGCCCTCCGATACTGTTTGTCCGAACACCTTGAACGCAGCAAACCATCAAACATCTCATGCATTTAAGAAAGAATTTATTGAAAAAAAAAAATTCAATAAAAACCTCTTTTCCATTATTTTCAGGTTCTTATAGTATTAAAATTAGTATTTTTCCCTGGCTTCTTTGTTAATAGTAATCAATCCACCACTGGGGAGTACGAATTGTTTTATTATCATCAACATGGCACTTAAGTAAATGAAATCTTGTCAAGTACATGGTGACCTACAAGTTCAAAAGAAAAAAAGAACAGCATGAGATCAAAACGGCCAGCCAGGACAGGAGACACAAAGCGAGCGATTAGATGCAACACAGCCCTTCACCCAACAGGCCTCACATGCTACCGTCTCTGCTAGAGCCAAGTCGACGTCTACGGACGCTCTTCTGCCCTCTGCCCTCTCGGGGCCTAACCAAGGTAGCCCAGGGAACCACAGCGTCTCACTCGGACTACAGCAATCCTGAAAACAGTTGGCTTCTGCATCAGTGTTTATCACGAACTTCCTCTGGGGCCAGGGCAGAGGGACAAACACACCCGGGGTCGGTCAGCCCAGGGTTTTAAATGTGCCCAAGAATTCGTTTTCCCTTCGGTCTGATGCAGGGAACTCAGTCGAGTTCTGCCCTTCTGAGGCCGAAAAAAAAAAAAAGTAAATGGTTCCTCTCCATCAACAAGCGCCAAAGACATCTATGAAAATTTCCAAAGTAAGGAAATTTGCTATTTCAGACAAGGCCATATTACTCTGGGTTTCCAGTCAGACCTGAAGGTCATTCGCTTCGTGTAAATACTAAAGAAACAACCTCCATGGAGAGGAAAGAATTTTGGCAGTTCAAATTCTTACATATCTTAAATAGAATTTGCTAAAATAAATTATTCTTGAATTCTTCAACTTAATTTTGAAGGAATGAGCTGGTAATAACTCCAGAGGTTCAAAGAATAATGCCTATTCAAGAAGAATGAGAGTTTGACATTCTTCTCTACAAAACAACTAGGCACAATTTTATCCATCAGACGTCTATCAACCTACGGATATTGAAAGCTTGGGCGAACAAGATAAAATCAACTCCAACCCTACAGTCGGCTGCAATATCGAGCAGGCATCAACAATGCTATTCATGAATTTAGAAAAATTAATAAGTCCGGGGTTGAATGCAAGAAAAGGCTCAAACACAGGTGAAGCGTACTCACTTGGGCTTTGTTTCGGCATCTGTCACTTGGCGAATGAAGATACCATCTTCAGGATGCTCCGTGTCGTCCATTTCATACATATATGATGATGCTATTGCGAGCGTGGTCCCATCATTACTGAAGGCCAGGGAGGCGATGCTGGTGGGGTACCGGTGGAACTGACACAGCCGCTTTTTGTTGAAGGGATCCCAAATATTTACAAACCCATCAGAACCACCTGCAAGTGATTTCCCAAGAGTTAAAAAGGCTCTCGAGAGACACCGGAAGAACCATGACCTTAGTGGTTCATCCTTTTATTTTTATTTTTATTATTATTATTTTTTTTTTTTTGCTTTTTGGGTCATACCCAGCGATGCACAGGAGTTACTCCTGGTTCATGCACTCAGGAATTACTCCTGGAGGTGTTCGGGGGACCATGTGGGATGCTGGGAATCGAAAGTGGTCCATCTTTAAGGTCCTAAAAGCTACAATTTCTCCCAAGAATTAGTCTATCAGATTCCCCTCCAAAGCATCAAGTGCACTTTATAATAATTAAAAAAAAAAAAGCTCAAATATAGATGTTTAGTATTGAAAGAACAGCAAAAGTTCATGGGGTGGAAGGTGATTTCTTCTGGGGGGGGATTCTGAGCCACAGAGTTGTGCCAAGGACCATGCAGTCGAACCTGAGCCCCCCGCCCCGCATCTAAACCACGTGTTCCGGCCCTTTGAGTCATCTCCAAACTGTGTGACCTTGGTATTCTGGCTAGGAGAGTATGCCATACTTCACCTGTCGCGAATGTGTTGTGGATGTTGTGAAAGGAAATGGCATTGACTGGGTAGATCTGCTCAATGTTGTTCTCTTTCAGTCGGTGACACTTGAAGGCGTACTTCTTCTTCTGCACCTCAGGGCTTGGGTCCAAGTACTCAACAGCCACTCGGCCTTCAATGGAGCTTAACACATAGCCCTGCCAGGGGGGACCAGAGAAGGTCAAAAATGATGAATTCAGTTTCCAAAGAGAAGGCCATTAACTCCCATACTCAACCCACATGAAGATTATTTCAAAATTTTTTCTAAAAAATACATTTGGGGGGGGGGCTGGAGCGATAGCACAGCGGGTAGGGCGTTTGCCTTGCACGCGGCCCGACCCGGGTTCGATCCCCAGCATCCCATATGGTCCCTTGAGCACGGCCAGGAATAGTTCCTGAGTGCATGAACCAGGAGTAACCCCTGAGCATCGCTGGGTGTGACCCAAAAAGGAAAACAAAAAAAAAATTTTTTTAAAGTACTTGAACAGTAGAATGTAATTAATGATCACTTCAAAAGTTTAGGAATGCTAAAATCTATTATATAAAAAAATTAATTAGACCATCACTAGTTCTCTTCACTGTGATGTCCACTGCTTTGTCAAATCCAAACATAAGTTTCAAACCTTCGATCATCATGGAGGGTGCACAGCAAGAAGTCCTGACACGACCAGGTGTGGTCCCAAAACACTCCGATTATTATTTGCTGTCCTGAAAGGAATCAACTGTCCCACAGAAATATGTTTTCCTTGCTGCTACGCCTCTGCATCTCTAAGAACTGTTTACTTCAACTGGGCTATCAATAATCAGAATCACCTGGAAAGCAGCCTTCTACTTTATTCTACCTGCGCTCAGGGACTCAAATTTAGATTTCCAGCCATAACGACTTAGCAATGATAACTCGGATTTTTCAGCAATAATAATGATTTATAATTTCAAATCCCCATTTCTTCTTGAAATGACACTCTGTGGATGAGGGAAGATAAACAGGAAATCTGTATTTTGATTGTTTTTGTTTTGGGCTACAACAGTCAGTGCACAGGCTTACTCCAAGCTCTGACTCGGGGATCACTCGATGGTGCTCAGGGGTTTGTATGTGGTGCTCCAACTTTGCTTGCCAGGAAAACGTCTTAACCACCGTACTCTCTGTGAACCAACTACTTTTAACCACTTTAAATTCTAAGATATGAAGGTTCGTTCCTGAAAAGCTACCTGTGAGGGGCTGGAGAGATAGCACAGCGGGTAGGGCGTTTGCCTTGCACACGGCCAACCCAGGTTCGATTCCCAGCATCCCATACGGTCCCCTGAGCACCGCCAGGAGTAACTCCTGAGTGCAGAGCCAGGAGGAACCCCCGTGCATCATCAGGTGTGACCCAAAAAGCAAAAAAAAAAAAAAAAAAAGCTACCTGTGTGTGAAGGAAAAAAAATATTCTAAACACTGACTATAAATATTTATGTTTAAATATGTAGAGAGGAGGAAAAGTTTTAGATAAACAAAAAAATCCTTAATATAAAAAAACATGTAACTTATTTCAGTCAGGCATTTAAATCTGTTACTTTTACATAAATGTAATTCTTGATCTTCATTAGAAACATACAACTTCCCACCCAAAAAAATCAGGTACTAGCTTTTTAAGGTAAAGGGTCAGGAAGAAAACAAAAATGCTTCAAGATCAATCATAAAACTTCTAAATAAACCAGTTATTTGCAATGAATTTTCTTCATGAAAAATTCCAATAGCGGCTGACCATACCACCAATACCCTCACGCTTTCTGCACGCGAGGCAAACGCCCTAACCACTGTACTACACTCTGGCCCCTGCCCTCACACTTTTAAGGGGGAGAAGAAACTCGCTAGTGAAATCATCTCATTTAGCACTGACAACCGCAGGTGACCACCTCATTCCTCACAGGTCTGTCTCTCTAAGAGGGACTCTGCATCTTAACCTTGGCAACATTCTCTCAAGATCCAAGTTTAGGGATCATAGTGGGGAGAAACTTTTTGGTAGGCTGAGGGTATGGCGGGGTAAGGTGCCAGCCGTGCATCAGGCAACCTGGGTTCCACCCCTAATACTGTATCTGGTCCCCAGAGCCCTGCCAGGAAGCATCCTGAGCAGTCAGGAGTGGCCGCACAACTGGAAGAACTGTATTAGTATTAGGGTCATGAAGCAAAAATTAGACATGGCAAACTCCCGCATCTTTCATTTTCACACCCGAATTTGAATTCCCTGGTTTCTTAATTGCCATCTCTGTGATGACTCTAGACCTGTAAAAGCAGGAAGGAACCAGAAAAAGGACGCACCGTTGGCAAATCGCCACCCTGAACATCAAGATCTTGCCTAAGACTGGATTCCCACGTCACGTACCTTTCTTTAACAGGAGGCTGCTGAAAATCTATCCCAGCAGCAGCTCCCAATCATCACTCAAGGGAAAACCGAGGAAACAAAGGTCCAGGAGCAGCGGCCAAATCAGCCTCTGGGCCGGGCAAGGGAACAAAGGGGCGGGGGAGGGCCCAGCACCTGCTTGTTGGGGAAGGCCCGGATGCAGCGGGTCTGGTACTTCAGGCTGGACTCCCGGCGCTGCTGCACGTAGCCCATGTTGCGCAGGTCCCACACCAGCACGCGGCGGCCCGCGGTGCCCACGATCAGGCGGTCCCCCGACACGGAGAGGGTGTACACCTTCCAAAACAGACCGAAGTCGTTAACGTCCACCGCCCTGCCTGGCAACGGCCTTCTGGGGGGCGTGCGGGGCGCCACCCGTGAAGCCACTGGGGCCAGGCCCCCCAAACCAGGCAACAGATTTCAACTCCGACTGCTCAAACCCACTGTTGGCACAAACCCTAAGATGTCCTTGAATACTCTACGAGAGATTTCAAGTAAAAGCACTCGAGAATTATTTTCACCACTAAGAGCAATTACTAAACAAGTCATTTTAAAAAGACAATAAAGTTTTCCACTCAAGGTAACTTTCAGTGGGGTTCTGGCTTTTCCTACAGCAGTCACTTCCAGTTATTTTGCTCTCTTCTAGAAGAATTCACTGAACTCTAAACACCCTGATTTATCCAGCTGTCACCATCAATAGGTCTTTGCAGGAAGGTGATTATCTGCTAAGCCCTTTTGGGTGATATGTGAACTTAAAATTACGAGACAAGAATATCGCTCTGGCATCTGACAAGGCAAATTCTTGTACCCTGATGTCACACTGAACACTCAGACAAAAGTTATCTTCAGGGAAAATTTTAAAAGCACCATCTCCCCGAACACTGATTTTCTCTCTCTCTCTCACACACACACACACACACACACACACACGTCTTTTCTGCAATACTGAGACAACTTCCATAAAAAACTGTCTTTGTACTAAATCATAAAATTTCTAACAAGCACTTTAAATGTTTTTCTCCCCAAACATGTTACTTGGGAATCCGAGAGAGTAAATTCATGAAAACACTGGCAAAAGGTCATTTCATTTCTTTTAAACAGTTCTTTTAAAATCTAGACCATAAATGTATATACATGCATATATATATATACACACACATAAAACACACATGCAACTGATTACTTTCAGTTAATAAGTAATTCCTAATATTTTAAAAACGAATCATTAAAATTTTCTTAAATGAAGAGGACACATGTTAAGACATACGATTCTATAGATTCAACAATTAATCCAGAGTTAGCAATCACTATCATGCTAAGTATAAACCACCAGTCAGAAAACAATACACTACCCCCACAGTCTCTACAATATGATTAGAAAAGAACTGATTTAATAAAAGCACATTGAGGGGAAAAACATCAGATTTAGCTTAGTTTATTTACAAGCTTGCTTGAAAAATGGTAATTTACCTAGACATCTGTGAAGCCCCAAACAAAAACGACAGACTCCGGAGAGAGATGGATTCCTCACAACACAATCAGACTGGGAATTTTTTCTTAAATCTTTACTATCCAGGGGACACACAAGCTTCTCCCGGTGCCTTCTCTCCCCACCGATCGTAAATCAAGTGAAACCACTGTCATGCTACTGACTAGGTATATACATTTATCAAAGAAAGCATTAGAAAAAAAAGGTGACATAATGAACCTTGCTGAACCAATAAGCAGCTTGATTCAGTGTGGCTGTCCATTAAATGGTATTCTGTCGGCGATTCATCATTGCCCTTAACCTGCTCCGTACAACCATAAATCAAAACTAGAAACAATGCAATTATTTTATTCCGAACAAAGGTCCTGCCAGGAGTAGAGTCGACTGTGATGTGACACAAATAATAGCTCTTCGGATGCACGACAGTATACAATGACGGCCAACAGAAACGGACTAGCACGTTTACACTGAGGAACAGAGCAACGCGAAGGATTCCTTGAACGGGCCACAACAATCCATCTCCAGCCACCACCTGATAGGTCTAATGAACAGCGACAATGCTCAATTACTTTCATTGTTAGACAGCGAAAGGTTAGAATAATACCAAGGTTTCACGCGTTTCAGGAAGACTGGTTCATGGGAGCCTTCCAACTGCACCGTGTGTCAGGACATGAAGCCAGGAGCAAGGTCAGGGGGTTTGGACACCTTTCTCCCTGTAGCAGCCGACAAAAAGCACCTGGGGGGCTATGGGAAGAGGAGGAGGGTCCAGCCCCTTCCGGTCTGGGCACATCCATCCAGTCCCCACCAAACGGGTCCCGCCCGGGGAGGCTTCAAGCATGAGCAAGGCACGGAGGTGGGTCTGCTCTGGGCAGGAGCTTCCGAGTACAACCACCGAAAGGAAATAACGCTGTCAGAATTCATTCTCATTAACATCAAAACCCTTTAGCTTGGGTGCATAGGACAGACTCTTTGTGTGTGTGCTGTTATGATGCTTCTCGGTGGTGCAGGAACCAAACCAGGCCACACACACACAGACACACACACACACACGGCCAGTGCTTTACCATGAGCGGCATCCCCCGTCAACTCTGACCTCTTAATACACTGTATTCCCCACACACATCAGCTCAGATCACCCGAGAATCATTACGTCCCACCAGGAACATTAACGCCTACCTTTTCGGGTTGAGAGAAGGTGCCGGCGTTACAAGGAGTTCTGGGATCCCACAATTTCACCGTCTGATCCCAACTCCCAGTGACCATCACGTTCACTTCCGGACAGTATTCCACACATCTGATGGGGGCATCGTGCGTTCCAACAAGGTTTTCTGGGGGGGGATGGGGGGGGCTGCTTTACTCCACTTAAGAGTCAGGTTAACAACAAGAGGAAACACTCATTCGATACTAACAACTCTGCGTCCCCCAGCTCTGCAGCAGCATCCGCAACACAACTGCAGACTTCAGAGCAGCCCCCTGCTCGCCGCGCACCCCCCAGTGCCTCTGATACCTGTCATGCAGACCTGCACTTCCGGTTACCTTGAACTCACTTAACTCCTACCTAGTCGAGAGTCCTTAAAAGTCAAGGACACATTTAACTCTGGTGATTATCTCAGCAGGGTTTCTGATGTCTATGTGGCAGGTGCCCAAGAAACACCTGCTGTATGAGTGGAGATCCCTGGTCTTCTGGCTCTGAATAAAACTGATCACGCTTAAAGTCAATGTTTCTTAAAAAAATAATATCATCTGAGAGTTCTAAGGGTTTCGTGTGGGACAAATGTCCAACTCACAATTTCCTTCCTTTTAATTTCAAAACTTCACACGCTCATTCATTCATGGAACAAATGCTGTTTGTACACGAAAAACACAACAAAGAATGAGTGTCCCCATCCTTAAACAGGAAACTTCACTTAAGTATCAACAAGTATCTTCCATGAATAACCAGATAATTACTTCTTTATGACTTCAAGCACTGAATACACTTGCTTCTTGGCGTTTTTCCACTAAAAAATAAGACCTGTAAGCAAACTTACTATGGAGAATAAGTTACCAACAAACAAAATCAAACATCTGTAGTTGTAAGTTATACAAAGTAATTTTCACGCAAATCCCTCTTTTGACTAGTACTGAGTTTTGGGGGGTTTTTTTTAGACAAAATATTGTGCCCAATTCCTACCCATCCTAACACCGGCCAACTCTCCCCTCCAACCTACGCCCACTTCCCTAGAAAGCTCCATGCAGGCCCAATGTATTACAGTTCCCATCTCTGCTCTGCTCCCAAGGAACCAGGAAACATCTGATGTCGTTTCATATCCAAGAAATGAAACATACCACCAAGTAAAGGAAGCAGAATTTCTACGCTGCCTGGGCGGGATTCGCTATTTTCAATGCTCATCTTCCTTCCTTCCACTTGCTAAGAGTGAACTCTGGAGCACCACTGTTCTCAAAACTCCTGACAAGCTCCCAGGCAGAAAGGTCCAAGGGGCCAGGGCCACTTCCCCTAACCGAGGGCTGGGCATCCCCTTAGGCGCCACCGCAAAACACACCCCCATTGTGTTCCACGCCCCTTTCAACACGGTCCCCAAACCCTGGCCACTTGGCATCAAAGCAGAACGACATCGTTCTAAAAACTTAGAGCCCTTGGGGCTGGAGTGATATACCACAGCGGGTAGGGCTTTTGCCTTGCAGGCAGCCGACCCGGGTTCAGTTCCCAGCATCCCCTAGGGTTCCCCCGTGCACTGGCCAGGAGTCATTCCTGAATCGTGCATGAACCAGGAGGAACCCCTGTGCATCGCTGGGTGCGACCCAAAAAGCAAAAAAATAAATAAATAAATAAATAAATAAACTTAAAACTATCAATGTCTCGGGAACGACGCTTCCTAAACACACACACACAGGTCTAGAACCCTGGGCACACACAAGCCCAGGAAAAGGGGAAAAGAGAAAAAAAAAATTCGCAAGCAACAACACGGCCCGGTTTCTATACCTTGGTCCGTGTTCAAATCGTGCATCTTCAGCTGATGGTCCAAGCCGCCGCTCCATGCGTGCGTCGGGTCCTAGGGGAGACAGGACAGGACGGCCCGGGCATGCCACTGCGAGGCCGGGGGACAGCCGGGAGGGGAGGGAGGATGCCCGGTCCCCCCATCCCCGATACCAGATCCCCGATCCCCGCCCACCCACCCACCCCACCCCGCGGGCACGCACGTAGAAGGCGCAGTCGAGCACGGCGCCCGTGTGCTGGTACTTGAGCCGCAGCGAGTTGGCCGGGACGTCGTAGAGGCGCACCGACGTGTCCCACGAGGACACCAGCAGGAACTGCGACGTGTTGGGGCTGAACTTGACCGACGAGATGCCGTCCTCGGGCGGCTGGTTCAGCTTGAACTCGTTCGAGCCGGTCATCTGCGGGCGGGCGGGCGGGCGGGCGGGTGGACGGACGGACGGACGGACGGATGAATGGATGGATGGATGGATGGACGCGCGCGCGCTCAGGGTCCGCGCGGGGACTCCGCGCATGCGCACTCGGCCGCGCCGCCGACTGGGCGCCCCGCCCCCCCCCCCACCCCCGCCCACCGCCCTCGGCCGCCCCCGGACCCGCCGCCGCTGCCCCGGGAGCCCCCGAGCTGCCCGGCCCGGTCCGTCCCGGCCCGGTGCGACCCGCCAAGTTCGCGCGCCCCCCGCCCCGGCCCGCCAAGCTCACGCGCCCCCGCCCCGCCCCCGCCCCGGGCCTGCCGCCCCCCACCCCCACGAGGCGCTACTAAGGTGGCACCGGAGGGGACACGGCTGCCCCGAGGACGCCCCGCAGGACCCGCCGCGGGACCCCGCCGCCGCGCCCGCTACCTCGGCCTCTCCTCGGGAGCCGCGCGCTCGCCCCTCGCCCCTCGCCGCTGGCCGCCGCCGCCCGCCGACTCTTCCCTCCGAGCACTCGCGGGCTAAGCGAAGGAGGCGGAGCGGAAGCCCCGGCCTCCGCCTGCCATTGGCTGGTTTCAAACGCCAACGTCTCGCTCTCGGCCGCCGATTGGTCCGCTCGCGGCCCAGCGGCGGGCCATCCAAGCATTCAGTTCCGGAGCAAAGGTTAAACCGCCACCTTTTTATTATTTCCCCGTCCCATTTCCCCCCCCCCCCCCACCTCCCTCACGTGGTCTCTTGTTCCCGGAGGAGGCCCAGACCCGCGCGCGAGGGCCGCGGCCCTGGGAACTACGACTCCCAGAGTGCCTTGCGCCCACGCTGCTGCGCTCACGCCCTCGGCCGTCCGTGTGCTGCACGCTGGGAGTCGTAGTTTCGCTCGGCCCGGCGCGCGGCCCGTTCACTGACTAGGAGGCGGGGGAAGACGTTTTCTTAGCCCCACCCAGGCGTCCGCCTCCTCTCCGTTAATTTCTCCGCTGCAAGAATTCCATTTGGTTCGGAACTTACGTGCAACTAAATTATTGTCCTTTTCGCTGAATAGGAATGAAACGCCCATGAGGATTTTCAAAACTGAGAGGGAGGTGGAAATACTTGCTCTAATTAATTGCATGATTTTACTGTGGTTTCCCCCCCCCCTCTCATTTTTTTTTTCCTGGAGTTTCTAATTGTAAAGCAAGGCCTTACATATCTCTATTTTTGAAGGCCTACGGAATTCATAGACACGCATCCTTATTTGCTCTTGGTTTCATCTTTCTGCCAACATTTATTGAGCCATATAGGGTACTGTGTGCCAGGCACTGGGCAGTCTCTGGGGCGATGCATTTATCAGCCCAGACCTCACTCAGTAGGACCTCTGCCCAGATTGGAGAACAAATCGTTGCCTTGCAATGTGTGAATACTGGAAATCTTCCTTTGGATCTACTTTTTAGGAGGGTCCTAAAGATGACAACTACAAACTTCTCCCTGTCCACCCCACCAGGCACCAGCAACTCCCTAGAGTTGCAGACTCAGTTCATTCCATTTTCTCTTTCTAGAATACTTCAGAAACAGAAGAAATTATCTCCATACAAGAAAAGCAATAATTTGTAGCTGGCTCACTGATTCAATTACTCTTGAAATTTTTCAATTTAATCTATGCTGTAATCTCTCTCTCCACTGTCTTTTGGAGGGGGCAGGATCTTATTATGTAATTTTTTTATGAAGTGGAAGGAAATCGTTGGGGTTAAAGTTTTTAACCTTTAAGGTACATCAATAGGGAAAAGTGCAGTTGCTCTTTATGTAGTCCTTTTCACTGGGGGGGTGGGTTTGAAAATTTAAAAATCGTCAGCAGAACAAACACACCCCCTTCTGCGTTCCAGTTAATGCTGTAACTGCCCAAAGACTGATTCATCCCTCCCCACCAAATGTGGTCCTTGGTTCTCTGTCTCTTCTCTCTCAACAACAGCAGGGCTAAGTTCAGAATTTGTAAAAATGCAGGGCTCTGCCTGTATTTTAATGGCTTTTTAAAAAATTTAGCTGCAAGTAATTTCATTTGGTTCTCTCTCTCTCTCTCTTCCAGTTGCTTATTTAGTTCCATTCGTGTTTGGAGATTCTGAGCATGAATTACCAGCTAATAAAATCTGAGTGTACTTCATTATCTAGTGTGTGTATGATCCAGCTCCCTCTGGGCAGCCGGACTCGATTTGAGTTTTAAGAAACGTCAATGTTTGAAATCCAGTTTAGAGCCTGGAAGGAGGCTGAGTTTGTTGATTATTCAAATGAATTGATAGTCTTGAGGAAACCTGGCAACAATGGAGTCCTGAATAACATTTTAAATACACTGGAGAAAGTAAGAGAGAGAGGGAGAGAGAGGGGAGGAGGATAGAAGGAGAGAGGGAGTACTTAGTTGCCAATGACAGGGACTTGTAAAAGTTATCCTGTGGGATCACCTTTGGTAACTTCTGGATTAGTAAAAAGAGGAAATATTTACTTTGACAAACTAGAAGGGAAAAAAAGTTTAAAGGCAAAATCACTGGGACATTGATTGCTTGCTCAGCTTAGAGGAAATCTCTTCCTCTAGGAGACATAAGCCCAATGATAGTTGAGTCAACACTATTCAAACTATCATCTCTTGAAAAGAATGCAGTGAACTGAAATGTACACAAAGCTGACATGGGCAGACTCTTCCTATTCAAGGAATTCCTTTGAAAATCATCTGATTCTCACTGTATGGAATATTCAAACAGTCTAGCTGGAGGGAAAGGAGAATTCAAAGTGGGCCAACTGGAAACAGAATCTCACTGAAATAAAATGCACCCCCTCCCCCAAATCAGCAGAAAACAGACACCACGTTGGACACTTTTTTTTTCTGTTTCCTAACAGTACGTCGATAGATCTCAGCAAGTCCCTTAGGCCCACTGAATTTTTATTGAGTAAAAAAAAATAAAATAAAAAGCAACTAAACTAGTTGCATTGGCAGGTGAATTCCTGAGGCCATCCTTGGGACGTCACTTTGAAGGAGATCGTGCTCTTTGTGACATCTTCCCGGAGAAGAAGAAAATAGGGCCACAAGCGGATGAGAACAGGCATTTAAATGACAAAGGTCTGTTGCAGAGAATCCTGGACATTTTCAGGAGACGCAGGAAAATCTCGTTCCCTCTCAACTCAGAGACGCGGCTAGCAAGCAAGGGAGGCCAGGCAGGCCTGGGCGCTGCGGACTCGGGGCGCGTGTGCACCGGCTGAGCTGGGGGTCCCCCCGGGAGGAGTCTGGGAGACCCCAGCTCTGGCCCGGGCACCCCTACGTGACGCCGAGCCCCTAGCTGCTACGGGCCCAGGCTTCCTGTCCCGACGTTTCCCGACGAACAGGTGGCAGGCTTGCGCGAGTCCCGGCGCTGGCTGCAGGTGCCGGGGCGCGGGGCTTCGGGGCGCCTGGGCCACGCGCCACCGTTTCCTTCGGCTCCAGCAGCCACGTGCCGGCCCGCAACCCGGCCCGCTCGGCCCAGAGTGATGCCAGCTGCCCAGCCCGCAGTGCAGGGGCGGAGCGAGGCGGGCGCGCTCTCCTCCCGCTGCTCGGCGCTGCGATCCCTGCTCCACCGAACGGCCGTCTCGCCGCACCCAGCTCCGCGCCGCAACGGCCACGCGGCTGCACCGGCCGCCCGCGACCTGGGTCGGGCGGTACCAGGTTCTGGAGAACTGAGCCACGGGCTCATTCCCCGGCCCGGGGCAGCGCCGCCCCGCCTGCCGTGCACCCCGCGGCCGGAGGAGCCGGTGACAAAGGAACTGCACGACGCCCCGGGGCTCAGGACAAGCCTCCTAGGCGCGTTCGGAGCCACTTCCCAGCCCGACCCGCCGCGCCGCCTTTGTACCGGTGCACCCCGCTCCCGAGGTGGCTCGGTTTGGGGCGTCCGGCGGGACGCTGGGAGCCGGTTCGGGGCACAGATCCCAAACTTCAGCCCCTGGGCCGGTTCGCCCCCCTTCACCGGCCAGCCTTCTCCAACCAACTGCAGAGGCTCCGGCTCCCACCAAGTAAGGGAGAAACACCCCCCAGCAGGTTTGCACGCCGGACGGTCGGGCCCAGCAAAAGTTAGCAACGATGCTTAAAATGGTTTATTATAATTATTATTGTTATTGTTATTATTATTGTTGTTTCCTCTTTAAAAATATTCACAGATCTGACATCTGCCCCGGCCCCCTTCCGTCCCTTACCCATCCTCAGGACGGAGGGAAAACGAAAGAGTTTGGACTGGTCGGTGTCCAGAGCCCCTAGGGGCGAGTTCCGCAGCGCGGGGGCATGTACATATGTACAGGTGTGTGTCTCTGGGGAGAAAAGCGTGCCCGACTAGGTAGGCGTTTTATTGATGCCCCGCTCCCTTCCTGGGCAACGCTGACCCGGCCAGACCTCTCCACCCCCTCCGGAGAACACCCCCTGCCCACAGAGCCACCCCGTCCAGGTGTAGGTTGCTGGGGGCTTGGCAAGTGGGCTCTGTGGCCCGAGGACCGCCAAGTCAGTACCCGAGAAGCAGCCCACCCGAGGCGGGTCGGAGGCCTGCGGCTAGGAGCTCCCGAATCCACACGGTGTCTTGCTTCCTCTGGGGCCCTCCCTCGGGGTGGTCCCGGCTCAGCAGCTCAGTAGTCCAGCTTGTTGTAGAGGTTGTAGAGCGGTAAGGCCGAGAGGTTGCTGCCCGGGTAGTAGAGGGGCGCGGGGAAGGCGAGCGAGCGCGGCACCGGCACCCGCAGGAGCGAGCTGTCCCGGAACACGAGCGGCATGCCCACGAGAGTCTGCGCCGAGGCGTGCGCGATGTTGGCCGCCTCCAGCTCGGCCGACAGCTGCCGCTTCCACTTGTTGCGGCGGTTCTGGAACCAAGTCTTGACCTGCGTCTCGGTGAGCTGCAGGCTGGAGGCCAGGCAGGCGCGCTCCGAGCTGCTCAGGTAGCGCTTCATGTCGAAGGTGGACTCGAGCTGGTACACCTGGCTGCGGGAGAAGACCGTGCGCGTCTTCTTCTTGGCCGCGCCCGCCTGCCGCTCGGCGCCGCCGTCCCGCGGCCGCTCGGGTCCCGGCGAAGGCGAGCCCGCGGGCAGCAGCCGCTCCTTCTCCTCCTTAAAGTCCGGGTGCGCGGGCGAGAGGAACGGCGTGCGCTCCGAGCTCGCCGGCCCCGCGCCGCCGCCGCCGCCGCCGACGCCCTTGGGGGTACCTGGGAAGGGAGAACAGACAGGAAGGCCATGGAGTGGGGGGACCTGGCGGATCCCCCTCCTCCAGCGCTCTGAAAGTTGGCCGGCGCCGCAGCGGTGGTCTGAACGCCCCTTCTTCCTCTTCTCCCTCTCCCGGGCACTTACAGATCAGCACCCTGGCTTTTGACAAGCAGTAGGAGAGGGAGCCCTGGCTGGGGTCTGGGGGTCTCCACGCCCCCCAGATTCCTGAAAGGATAAGTGGCAAGGAGGTGAGTTTTGTGGGGGGAAGAACTAGCATCGTTTCTGAAGGCGATTTTTTTTTTTTTTTTTTTTGCCTGGCAAGAGCGGAGCTGGAAGTGTTCCGTGCGCACAGGCCTTGTCGGGAGACGGCGGCTGAGGACCAGCCGGGGCTGGCCTGGATCAGATGTTGTAAAGAGGAAGCGTCTGTGAAAGGCACCATTGTCAATCATCGTGGAGTGCTAATCATTCGGAGCAGGAGGAGGAGGAGGAGGAGGAGGAGGAGGAGGAGAGGGAGAGGGATGGAGGGAGAGAGGAAGAGAGAGACAGGACGACAGAGATCCAGCAGAGACAGCCAACCCTTCAGACCGCTTCCAGACCTCGTGCTGGCAAAGTATCCCAAGCGCAAAGGGGACACTGACGGCCGAGCCAGGCGAGCGGGCCTGTGTCCAGCCCGCTGTGGTCACTCTCCCTCCGACCCCACCTTCCCCAAGCCCGCGCAGGGCCGGCTCTGCGTTCCCGGCCTCCTCCTCCTCCCCAGCGCCCGGCGGCAGGGGCGACAGCCGCTCGCGCGTCCCCCCTCTGTCGCCTACGGACTCCGGGCGGCCCCGGGAGCGGCCCGGGGCGCGCGTCCCTCCCCGAGAGCCGGCTCGCGGCCGCGCGGGCGGCGTGCGGTCCTTACCCAGGCAAGGAAAGGGGATGGGGGGGTGGTGCTTGGGGCCCGGTTCCTTGGGGCCGTGCGGGTCTGGGCAGAAGCAGACGGGCGCTTTCCAGCCGTCGTCCGGCTCCTCCTCCTCCGAGGACACGGACAGGCTGCGCTTCCTGGCCGGCCAGCCGGAGGGGTCCCGTGGCGCGTCCGAGGGACCCCCGCCCAGGATGGACTGAATGGTGAAGCTGGAGACGCCGCCCGCCGCCGGACACCCCTTGCCCACATCTTCCTTGCTGCCCATCCTGGGTTCATAAGAAATCGGAGGAAACCAAGAACTCCCTTTAGAGACGATCTGGGTGGAAGGTGGTGCCGGCAGGCGGGCGCGGGGGAGGAGAGGGGAGGGGAGGGGGCTCGAGTGGGGGAGGGGGCGGCAGAGCCGGCGAGGCGTTCCCCCGGCGCGGGGCGCGCGCGGGCACCGGACGGGCGGCGCCCAGGGTCCCCGTCCGCCAGGCTCCGGGTGCGCCCGCCCAGCCCCGGCGCGAATGCCCCTGGCCGGGCCGCCGGCTCGCGGTGTCTCGGGCGGCGCGGAGGTGGCGCGGCCTCATTTGCATAGAGGTTACCGGGACGCGGCCAATCGCAGCGCCGCCGAGCGGCCCCGGAAAATTTCAAAAAAGCCCGACCGGGCCCGCGGCGCCCTGTGCGCTCGGGAGGACGCCCGGAGCCTCGGGGCGTCCCGGCCGGCCGAGCAGGGTCATCACCCTGGGGCGTCGCTGCCGCGGCTCGGCCCGCTCGCTCGGACCCCAGCCCTCTCGAGGCGCGCGACGACTGGACAGGGCGACGCCTCCCTCGTGCCGGACCTCGCCCCCTCCCCAAGCGGCCCAGGCTCTTCCACGACCCCCAGCCCCCCTACCCCCCTGCTGCGCTGGTACCCGCCCCCCCCCCCAACTGCTGCGCCCCGCGCTGGAGGAAGGGGCGCAGGGGTGCGGGCGCCTAGGAGGAATTTTTGTGCCTTGGCTGCAGCCCGGGAAATGAACAACTTCTTTCCTCCCTTGCCCACGCCTCGTCCCGATTCTGTCCCAGGCCCGTCTGGTTACCTGCTAGGCCGCGGGGTGGGGGGAGGGGGGCGCTGAAGCTCTAGCTCTTGTTTCAAGCGATCGAGGCTCGGGTCCCAGCCCCACCACTTACAGGCTCCCGAGAATTCAGACCCCTCCGGTCCCAGTCCGGCCTCCCGGCCCTCGAGCTGGGCAGGAACTTATTAGCAACCCACCCCCCAGCACCCACGCACTTCTCAGCACCCACCGCCGGCCCCCAACGCACCCACGCACTTGTCAACACCCACCGCTGGCTCCCACGCACCCACGCATACCTCCCGTTTGGAGGTTGCCTTAGGCAGCGGTGCAAAGGCTCCTGCAAGCCTGCAAGAACGGAGCACTCCTAGTTAGGGATTTTGCTAACGTTGCTTTAGGTTGCTGGGGGTGGGGTGTAAAATTTCGGGGAAAAAAAAAACTTGGTTATAGATTTTATCCAGAAAGAGAAGCACGCCGGGAAAGGAAAAGGGGACAAGGATGGATTCATGGCTTTAGAATCGGGAAAAGTTGATCCAGATCTCTAAAGCGTTCCCAGCCTCAGTTTCCCTTTCTAACATGCGGGGCGGGAAACACCTCGCAGAGCTGTTAAAAGCCATGTCAGACCTCAGTCCGTCCCTTGGCCTGGGGTTCCCTCTGAGCCCTGCCTCCCTCCCTCTTTTAATTTCCGCATCCGCTCTCTCTCCATCTAGACGCGCGCCCCCACACCCCCCTCCCCGCGACCCCCAGCTCAAGCAAACTAGTTGGGGCCCCAGGAGCTCTGAGGAAAGAAAGAGGGGTCAGGCCCGAGGGTGCTGCCGGACCGCGACACCCCGGCTGGCTCTAAGCCCGGGTTGGAGCGTCCGTCCGAAGGCGGCCCAGCGCGCCCCCCGTTCCAGACGCGGCCCGTGCCGCTGCGCCGCGCCCGGGTTTCTGAGCAAAGCGCTTATAATATCATTAGCGGCGGCGAGTGACCGGCTGCAGCCCTGCCCGTGGCAGAGCCGCTCCCTACTTAACTCCTCCAAGGCCTCGTTAATGGGCTAATTGATTAGGAGTCGGCGGCGCGGGCAGGGCCGGGGCAGGAGACCCGGGCGGGGGCCGGGGTGCGCGCAGGGGCCCGGGAGGCCGGCGAGGGGCAGGTGCCGGCCTCCGTCACCGCATTAACCTCTTCAGGGCTCGGCG